AATAACTGTAAAAGGACTAAAAAAAAAAAAAAAAAGAAAAAAAAGGGACCACTCAAACTGGCTTATCTTGGTTTGCAGCATTGCATTAAGAAAGATGGACCTAAAATACATCAAAAGGGATATAAAAAATTCCAAGTATTAAATAAAGTCTAAATGAGATGATGAAAACAAGGATGAAATTTCTTAGTTCTTATGTTGATCTTATTACATACTTAATTGCTCTTAAAAAAAATTGCCACGTGGTATTAAAACAAGGTCTCCACCCCTGAGAATCCCACAGGGTTGCATTTCATTTGTAACTCCTTAGAGCTCATCATAATATCCAAAAGAACAATCCCAGTACCTAGTGCCTTCTCCCACAATCACTGGAAATTATAAAGTTCAAGTGGCTAGCCAACTTTATAAATAAGATGTTTATAAACCTACCTTTCAAATATTTAAAAACACACATTCAATACCAAGAACAATATGTGTCAAAATAAAAAAAAATTAAAACAAAGCCAAGGTTTTCACAACAATTCAATCACAAGCCTCGAACGCAGCAAGCTACTTAAAATAGAGATGACTTCCCAATTCAGTAACACATACACAAAAGTACTCATTAAAAAAGTAGTGTAGTTGTAAAGTCCTGCTAAACTAATAAAAAATATTTTCATACTGTCATCTAAAGATACCATACACTACTGCTTCCCCAGAGCTTGTTAATGCAGACAAGCCTCAATCAGTAAGTAAACTAATCTAAATCAAATTCTCTCCAGTTGAAAATAATCATCATGTCCTGCCCAGAGTTGGTGAGTATAAATGGATTACTGAAAATATTCTTGGTAATTGCAGGTTGCTATTTATGTTGACCAGAGTTGGAGGAGTTTACTTAGTGAAATGTCTAAGCACGCAGACCACCAATGCGCAACACACAGGAAAATCACTCTTGACATCCACACGAAAAACAGCCTGGATCCTCTCTGCAATGTCACGGTGTGGTTGTAATTTTATAGTGTCAGATGCATTGCTGGTGACAAAATGAAAATTTATGATTGCAGTTATTTTATTTTCAGGTAATATGCTACCACAAGAGATTTTTCTAGTTCAGTGGAGTAGAAGTTATATACTAAAGACTAAATATTATTTTGCAAAGCCCTTAATTTTGCTGCTTGTAAGCAAGTAGGCACAAAATATGAATGGTGACAGTAATTGAAATGTCTTTTTTAATTACAGGGAGCTTTGGTTGCCTCACAGTCACCAATTCCCAAATATATCTAGTAACACACAAGTCATGGAGTGAAGTGGGAATAAAAAAGACTAGCTCTAAGATGAACTTGTCACAAGACACCTGGCCAGTTAGGCTAGCTCTCGTTAGCTTTCACTCTTCCCTGGGTTATCCCATAATGTTTTGTTTTGTTTTTTAATCATTGTCATCATCGGGATTAAATTAGAAATCAGAAAACCTAGGTTCTAACTCCAGATCTGCAGCTAACCATCTAAAGAACTGTATAATCATAGGAAAAGCCTATAATCTCTCTGAGCTCCAATTTGCTCATCTGTAAAATGAGGGGGGTTGTGATAAATGCTTTTAAATCAGAACAGAAAAATGCAAGGTAAAAATGAGTACCTCAACATATTACAATTGATCCTAACTTATAAAGGCAAACACAGAGAATACCACAGGATAAGAAAGGAATGTTTTTCACTGGAGGGGAAAAAGAAAAATGAAAAATATTACAGAATTAAAGGGTCATGAGGATGTAGAAAAGAACTAACATACGTTTAGCCTTGGAAGGAAGCGTCCTACAAAAATGTAAAAAAAAAAAAACCATCAATAGCCTACGTTCCCTTTGGCCTAGTAATTCTACTTTTGAGTATAGATCCCCCTAAAAAATATCCCTGAAGAAAAAATCAAAGTTCTCTCAAAAAGCATCTCCATAGCAGCACTCTATGTAAGAGAGAAAAACTGGGAACAACCTGGAAGTGCAAAAAGAGAGGCCCAGTTAAGTAAAAAACTGGTTTTGCTAACAAAATGGAACAAAGGTCTACATGGCCTTTTTTTAATACTGAACTATTCTCAAAAGAGCAGAAATATTCAACATGGTATCACATGAAACGTAAAGGCTGATCACAAAATACATTTGTCTTCTTTATGATTTTATAGAAGACATACTGATGACAACCGGAAGAGAAACTGGAGGGATAGAACTAGCTCGTTGGGTCTCTTCTTTCTATGAAATTCATCAGAAGAGAAAAAAAAAAAAGGCAGATGGGAGGAAAGGATGCTCTCCACACTACAGACCAGCTTTGACGTTTTTATGCTTCTTCCACATAGTGCTTCGCTAACATGACCAATACCAACTTAGATCTCCATCTAATGCTTAATGGTCTCCAAGCACTTTCACAAAGATTATGATGTTTTATTGTTTGAAAAATAATCAGCATGCATAACACTACACCAAAATGTCAAAGTTTGGTACAAGGACTAGTGTGCCAGGGATGTAATCTATGAAACCATACTATACATATGGTTGGACTCCCCTCTCCCCAGACATCATCAATGAGAAATCAGAGGAAGCATCAAAAGTCAGGAGCTATGATTTCAGTAGGCTTTTGGACTCTACTGTAAACTTTAATACAGTAGAACTTGCCATGAGGCAAATGCCTAAGAGAATTGTTGTACATATCTTATGTACAATTACTTCTTTCCTTAAACACCATAAATCACAAAACTTGACAAAAGGTGGGCCTAGCAATAGATCCCTTCCAGATGCAGTACATGCAAGGTAAATGAGCTTACTGCAGGGCACAGAATTCATGAACAGAGTCACAGCATGGCATTTGGGTTCAGTGTATAGATGAACCTTTGGGTTATTTATCCCACTAAGAACTCCAAAAAGATATAAGAGGTAAAAATGTAGAATCCTTCTAAATAACAATTCTCTGAAGGAAACGTAACTGGTGACAACCCTTTTGTAAAAAATGGATATTTCACAAAAGCCTGTGTAAGTTTTCTTCCTCACCCCAAAACATTTTTTTCTACTAACCAATATTTTGAGCTTTATGTTTTAAGCTGTCAGATGCTGGTGTCCCTTCACATATTCTGTGAATGACAAAGAGAAAAGTAATGGTGTGGCATGAGAGAAATAGTTTGAAAAGAAAAAGAAAAGCTTAAAGATAAAGAAGGTAACAACTGGGTGTACCACAGCATGTAAGTTCTATGGGAGATTATGATACACACTTCTTTCAATGATGGCAAGAGCACAAAGTCAAAAGTAGCTTCAATCTTTCACATTTGTAACTCTAGCAAAATCCCAGCTTCTAGGTTATACTAAAAAGACCCTGGCAAGCAACTATGCCCAATTTCTACTCTTACTGGCATTATCTAGTAATTAGAAAACAGGCTTTCATTTTGCAAAACCATTCAACGTGCCAAGGTACTTCATCTTAAATCCGTGGTCTCTAATGACAGACTGTGTGTTGATCTGTAACCAGAAAATTTCAACAAGCTTTTAGGAAAAGAGACTGGGAGAAAGACTTATCCATTAAAAATGAATCTCAGAAATAAATTGCAAATATGCAACAAATTCCACTGACATTTTTTCTCGGAGTTATTCTAGAGAAGCGTCATCAATACATTTTTTTTTCTAGGATTCAAATAATATTTACTGGTCACACAGGTCCTAGGATACCATATAATAATTCATAGATTTAAAAAAAAATGACAAACATGCAGAAGTACTCCAAGACTCAAAATCTATTGTGATTTGATTTGATATAACCTCTATCATGTCAACCATTACCCAGTAGATGAGCAATTCAGTTGTGGAGACAGACTAATTTAACATTTACTCATTAAAATACCATGTAATAAGGCAAGGACACAAAGATGTCTTTAAAAAAAATCAACTTCAGAAAGAATACATAGGTGTAAGCAAATCACAATTAGAATAGAAATGAAAATAAAATGATTAATCTTGCACTAAAGAACCTTAGTAGCTAAGAGGCCATTTACATTTCAAAGTCCTCTGTCTATGGTCTTCGTAAGTATTATACCAGTAAGGTTTGTCAGTGCTGCAGAGACACTTCAATTAAGGCTGTGTGGTAGAACCCTGTGTAAATTAATTAGTCGAGGCTGCACGGATTTTCTAAAAGGAGCTCTCTAAAACAGCCTTAGAGTTATGCACGATTTGTGGGGAATAACAATTTAAATACAACTCACTAATCAATTCTTCTTGCTTTCACATTTCAGTGACATTTTGTGTAATGATAAATAAGTCCATGAAAATACCACTAACCAAAATTTTATTTGCTTTCAATTAGAGATAAAGGAAGGGGCTTTCAATTTTGCTTAGGCTACTCAAAGTTTTATTTCAGATTTTATCTAGACGTATTGGCATGATTACCACAATGAACTTGATCCACATTTAAACAGGAGAGGTGTCTATATGCAAAAGTCACATATGTTAACAGATAAATTAGCTATCTAATAATTTCTGTAAACAATGTCATAACAAAAATATGAATCTCATGCTCCTGCCTCAAGGTTTAATCTGCTAAGTCTTTTATGATAACTTAGCTAAATATTAAAGTTTGATGTGTTTTATCAAAGATAGTATCATAGTAATTTCTTTGTTTCTTTAATTCAAAATACTAAGTGGATTTTTGCTGTAAATAATTTCTAAACACATTAGAATCTGATGTTTGGCAAACATCCTTCAAAATAAGTAAAATGTGTACAGAAAAACTGTAAAAATTAATTACATAATGGTTTCTACTATAAATTAAAAATGGAAGAAATCTGAAGTTTTCAAGAGATTAGGAGCCTTCCAGTTATGTACATAAGAGATTCATAAGCTCTTCTGTAATCCTAAAATAAAGTCCCTACAGTCTCACTGTAGTGATTGTGAAAAATTCATACTTGTTATACAGTAGAGATGATTTAGAGACTTTTTAATAGCTAATTTGTTTCACGAGCATAGACACTGTATATACAAATATATCTTTTGAGATAGTACCATTGAGAAGAGGCTGTCCTTCATGCACATCCTGTGATAAGACTGCACTGTAAACATCTTCAGGAAATCCAGTCTTGCATAATGCGATTTCACCAGAAGCCTCTACAGACGCCTGCAACACAAGAAAAAATGTGTGCAATGATTACTACCTCCTTCAACTGAGAAACATTCCACTTGGCATAAAGCCTCAATTTTTCAGCTATCTTGTACAAATAACCCCTTTGTTTCCGAACGGTTACAATTAGAATGTAGAGGGCAAAGGGTTAATCTTTTTGATAACTGGAGTAGAAGAAACAAATCCCACTTGTCTTGTCCAGTAAAATCCAAATAATACACATTCCAGGTTCTTCTAAAGACCGCACATTTCCATTAAAATGGGCATTGTGACCGAAGAATTATCAAGTGGATCTGGGGGGAGGGGGGCAGCCAACTAGTTTTTAGTCTCCACAAATCACCATCGCCAACTTAACTTTTCAAGAAAAACGTATACATTAAGTATATAGATTTTTACATTCTCATCCCATTCTCTGGCTATGAAGTTTGTTTCGATATACCCGGTTCATTAAAAGACCAAACTACGATAGACTTCTTGCACGGTATAGAGTATTTTGTACCAAGTAAAACCAATCAATCAAAAGTCTATATGTCTCTAATCTGGAGGGCAGGGACACGTTAAAAATATAAATGAAGATTAATACAATTATGTTTCCTTTTTATACTTAAAAATTAGGAAGTCTCTCTTGCCATCTTCGTCTCTATTATCCCATATGCAGCTACCTACCCAGTGTGGTTACAACTCAGTCATACCAAGTGCTATGCACTTACCCCTCCAAGTCAGTTTCCCTGTGTCTTCTGGCCCTACTGACCTCCTCATAGCACTCAACAGAACTCGTGCAGCGTTTACATTAAACGTGATGGGGATCCATATACAGGAAGAGGAAGAGAGGACACGGGCTGCCAGAGGGATCGCAGTAGCTGCAGGACCAGCATTAGGCACAATCTACACTGATGAGAACCAGAAATTGGGAGGAAGAAGGAAGGGAATTCCCAGAAAGAGAGAGGCCTGAAAGCAGGTGTCAAAGCAAAACGCACAGCTTCACAATTAAAGGCCCACCTGGATTCTGCATGAGAAGTTGTGCAAATACTAAAGTCATAAAAATCCATGCTAATCTAATATTTAAGCCATTCTTTTTGGATCTGGGGAAAAAAAGAAAAAAGTGCATTTGAACTTTGTTAAATATTACACAGTCTTTAATCTCAAAAAAAAAAAGGTGTTAGGAGCAACAGTGAGAGAATAGTTCAGACCCTCCAAATTAGCAAACAGTTTTAAGTCTGTTATGTGCAAGGAAGGACTGCATCAGGTCAAGGGTCTGGAGCAACCAACCTGCTCATACAGGTGTTTGTGGAAGTTGGTGCAGGCACATCTGGAATGCAGTTGGGAAAATTCTAGTAAAGATGCATGTGGATATATCCTAGCCTACGTGCTAGGTATATTCCTGTGGAAACTCTCCTGTGTGTGCTCCAGTCATATGTGAGGGCATGTTCACATGCCCACCGCAGCACGGTTATAACAGCAAAACCTGAAGACTACCTAAACAGCCATCAAAATTTTCATATCGCCAAAAACAGTAGCACTCTACAGCCTGAGAATGGAAGAACTGGAGCTACATTTATCCACAGGGTTCCATCTCCAAACAGTCAGTCAGTTTCTTTAACTTCCATGCGAGACTGCAAGAGAAATTTAATTCTAAATCAACCTAGAGAAGACTATTCTTCTTAGGTAAGTTCAGAAATCTATTTATGCAACACTCCAAACTCAGACCAGAGACAAAGCACTCTGTAGCATGAATCTTGAAAGAAAAAAAAAAAAATTAAAAGCATGATTGAGGACTCCATTTCTATACATAAAGTTTAATATAAAAGATGTGTAGTTACTCTCTCTCTCTCTCTCATTCTCGCTCTCTCAAATAAATAAATAAATCTTTAAAAAAAAAAAAGATGTGTAGTTACTGACACTTATAAAGCAAGAATATAAAAATGTACAAGGTGGTGATAAACACGGAACCAAGGATAGGGGCTACCCCCAGGGCAGCTGGGTAAGATAGGAAAGGCCTCAGGAAGGGTCATACAGGCAGGCGGCTTTGATTTTATTTGTAATAATTCATTTCTTTCAGTAAAATGTGGAGATATGCACAGGAACACGGGTGCAGATTATATTATTCCCTATTTATCCTGTATGCTCCATTATTTCATAATAAGAAAATGAAAACATTAGGGGCTAAGTGAGAAGTAAGGAGTAGGGCTTCCAACACCCATCAAGTTTGGGACACTGGATGCTATTTTGATTCCTGCCAGATGGAAATATCCAGGCCCTTGTACTTTACCAGCCCTGGCAAAGAGCCAGCACTCAGTAAGTAAAAGCTTTTGCTTCTAGCTAACCAAAACAACTGAAGGGAACTCCCGGGTTCACCAGCTAAAACGGACCAATGTGTTGTAACTCTGTGTCCCACTGATGGGTCCAAAGTCAGCCTACTCCCCTCTGCAGAAGGAGGCCGTGGCAGGATTCCAATGGTGGACAGGTGGGAGCAGGGCTCTGGAGGGGCAGCAGGGCAGAGGCAAACAATGGTCAGCATGCAGTAAACAGGGGTCACATTCCAACATGGCCATTCGGGTTAGGGCAGTGTGCAGCTGGATAGGCACCCAGGGATCTGTAAGTCTAAAGACTAGAGGAACACTGCAACCTTTTCTTGAGTTCCATGGCTATGGTCTTGTTTTCCAGTGGATCTGCCCTAAGGTGGGAGAAGCAGCAACAACATGCTCCTCATTCAAACCCACAGGAATGGAATTTCAAGGCGGAATAAAGTCCATGTATGTTCACTTCTGAGTTTCTGTCTCCATCTTATTTCAGAAAAGGGAATTTCTGTCCTCAACATGTTACCCTTTCTTTGCTCAACGTCTCTGCTCAGCTTCCTCATCTAGGAAAGGGGGCCTACCTGCATAAGGTGGCTGCGAGAATTTCTGCAACCATGTTTGTATAGCATATCTCTAACAAATACTGGCAACCAATATTAAATACCCACGGGGGTCATATATTACTTTATGAGATTTTCATACTCATTTTGTTTTTTAAGATTTTATTTATTTGAGAGAGAGAGAGAGAGGGAGAGCATAAGCAGGGGGAGGGTCAGAGGGAGAGGGGGAAGCAGAATGCCCACTGAGCTGAGCTGGAGGCAGACGTTTAACCCACTGAGCCACCCAGGCACCCCTTCATACTCATTTTAAACAGCTAAAACTTTTCTAAATTCTTCTTCCCCAAGACAAAATGGATTCAAAACATAACATGCTATTATTCTATAATGTGTTTTCTTAAAAATAGGCTCCAAAAGTTATTAAATGTATGGACACATTTTTGGTTGTTGCAACTGGGGATGAGGGTGCTACTGGCCTTTAGTGGCTGAAGGCCAGGGTTGCTGCTAATCACCACACAACACACAGGACAGAGAATGATCCAGCCCAAAATGTCAAAAGGGTCAAGAGTGAGACACCCTGTTCTTTAGCAACCCATGAAAACTGGGTGTCCATCTACCCTTTAACCCCCTCCCCCCAAGTGGTGGAAGTTCACTGTCTTTTCAAACCGTCGTCCATACTCTTATTGGGACATCCTCGTTTTCAGAAAACCAGAACCGTGCCCCTGTGGCTTGCTCCAACATCAACGGATCACTCTGCTGGACCCAGGATGAGGCTCCAAAAGTTCAAAGAGAGAAACTTTCCCCTCAAAAAGTACTCTGTGGTACAAGAAGGCAGCTGTGAATCACATGCATTTTCCTAATATTTGAACAAGGTAGGGGTCAGCAAACATTTTTATATAAGGGGCCGGATAGTAAATATTTGAGGTTTGACAAGCCATAGTAACTGTTGAAATGACTGAACTCTGCGGTTGCAATGACAAAGCCGTAATAGACAATGGGAAAAGAATGAACTCGGCTCTATTCATTCAAATAAAACTTTATTTATAGACACTGAAATTTGAATTTCATTTAATTTTTGAGTGGCAAAAATATTCTTCTTCTTTTGATTTTCTATAAGCACTTAAAACTGTGAAAAACATTCTTGGCCATACAAAAATGGGCATCAGGGGTGTAGTCCGCGATCCCTGGAATGGCGTGTTAAGATTTATAAAACATTACTATCTCACCTGCTTCTCACAAGAGCCCCTTGGGGGGATGTGTGTGAAATTATCCTCATTTTACAAATGAGCAAACAGGTGCTCACTCAAAGGACGGGCAAAATACTCAAGACCTCACATCCAGGAAGAGGAAGAGGCAAGATGCTAACCCTACAGTCTTTCCAGGTAGAACAAATAATTACAACACAATTCTTTCCAGAAACTTGTACTGAGTATCCATTTGCCAATGAAACAAAACCAGACATCCTCACTGCCTTTAAGAAGTTCAAGGCTTAATGTGAATGCAAAATAAAGAAGTGATTGCAATAGAAAGTGACAACCAGGAGGCAGAGACCGAGAGAACCCAGGGCAGGGGCCCAGGGGCCTCCCACGCAGAACCCAGGAGGAGCCCGGCAGTGTGGGGTGGTGGGAAGTCATCCCAGGCGGTCACTGTTGAGCTGGAACAAGGAGGCAAGAAACAGCATTATGCCTGGAGAATTACAATGAGTTCAGTGTCACTGGAGTCCAAGAAGCAAGACAAGAAGTCAAAAGTTGAGGATGGAGAGTTAGACAGGGTTAGATCATAAATGGTTAGGGCCTTGGGGTTATCCTTTTGGCTGTGGGGAGTCAGGCACAGATTTTAAGCACAGGCAGACTGCATTTGATAGAGAAGTCTCTGATGCTTTGTGGGAAAATGGGAGGGAGGGCGGTGACAAGTGACAGCCGGGGTACAAGTCAGGACACAGACTTGAATTGGACAGGGGCTGCAGGAATGAGGAAGGGGCAGATTGTATCAGTAAGCAGACAGTTAAAACTGATAGGCTTAGTGAGGGCAGGGATTCTTGCAGGGATGTTGGAAGAGAAGGATGCTCTTCCCCACGTTTCCAGCTGAGTGACTGTGAACTTGGGTGGCACAAACTAAGAAAGATAATCGCAGAATTATAACACCAGGAACAAAGTGCTAAAGAAGCAGAAAGAATGGGATGATGAATCTGCCTGTAGAAATCAAAGAAGACTCCATAGCCGAAGTGACATTTAGGCTCTGTCTTTAAAGATGATTAAAAATTTGCCGGAGAAAGAGGAGGAAGTGGAAAAGGGCATTCCAGGCAAAAGGTGCAGTGTAGACAAAGTCTTGTTGATTTATATTGAGCTTGTAGTCAACCCAAACAACCCTGATCTTTTTTACCAGGAAACTATATAAAGTCATGGCTTCCAGTATCTTTGCTGCTGATTTGGGGCCCCAAGGGGCAGCAATTTACATGTAACCTTCCCAGATTGGATCGTGATAAATTAATAATTCCACCTAGATGTAGTCATTCCCCACCCCCCAGCTCTCTGCATCAAGAAAGCCTGAGACACCCCAATGTCTTCATAAAGATGCCACTCAGATACTAAAGACAGGGTATGACACATGCCCAGACATCACCCTTCCCTCCAACCCCGAGCCCTAAGGTGGGCTTTCAAGAGGGGCTATCTGATGGGGCGCGTGGGTGGCTCAGTCGGTTAGGCATTCGCCTTGGGCTCAAGTCATGATCCCAGAGTCCTGGGATGGAGTCCCGCATCGGGCTCCCTGCTCAGCAGGGTGTCTGTTTCTCCCTCTGCCTGCAGCTCCCCCCGTTTGTGCTCTCTCCCTCTGTCTCTCTGACAAATAAATAAAATCTTAAAAAAAAAAAAAAAGAGGGGCTATCGGCTGAGTGGTGCAGAAGCTCAGACTTTCAAAAGCGCCAGACTTCCCGAGTTTGAATCCTGCCCCATCCCTTACTGTCTGTGAGACTTCAGAGACGTCACAGCTCCCCGTCTGGATGATATGTACAATAAAGACAGCACCCACTCACTGCGCTGGGGTGAGGATTAAATGAGAGCATATGTGTACAGCCCTTGGCGTAGTGGCTGGCACGTGGTTATCCAATGCATCAGCTGTCACGCATTAACACGATGATGACAGCATCAATCCAATGCACAGCACGTCTCCCACAGCTCAGCAGTTCCCAAACTTGCTCCAGCATAGCAAGGAATC